TGAAAAAAATGGTATAGAGGGATAGACAAACTCAAAGTTCAGACAAAAAAGCACTGTAATGGCTAAGAAAACTAAGAAAAGAACGTAATTTTGTTACATCTGTCGGTGCTGGCATGTTTTTTTATTGCTCAAATATTTTCCAGGTCTGGTCGTCTGCCATTTCTGTTGAAAATAAACCCAAGATATTTTATTTGTGCTCGGAAAAATTCACTTTTCACCTTTAACACACAATCTGTTGAAAACACAAAATAAACATTGCAAAAGTTAATCTTGTTTTGTTCCTGCGAAGATGATGTCATCAATGAATGCTGCAAATCCTGTTAATTTGGTCAGCATGGTGTCCATTGTCTGTTGGAAAATGGCTGGTGCTGGTTTGAGACCAAAGCTAAAGTGGTTAAATCTGAATTCTTCATTGTGGGTGTTGATAGTAAGGAGCTCTTTGGATTCCTTATCAACTTCCAGTTGAAGAAAAGCATCGGAAAGATCAAACTTTGCAAAGCAGATTCTGCTGTTGAGTTTTGTGAAAAGATCTTTCGCCATTGGAAATGGATACTGATGTGCATCCCAAGAATCATTCAAACTGGTTGAGTAATCAGCACATATCTGGACTTTTCCATTTGCCTTTTTAACAACTACAGTAGGAGCTGCCCACGCGGAGTAATTAACAGGCTCTATTACACCTTTTTGCTGAAGATGTTGCAGTTCTTTTTCAAATACATAATATATTCAACCAACTTGTTTGTTTGTGTGTGTGTGTGTGTGTATATATATATATATATATATATATATATATATATATATATATATATAATAACCTCTCATAAGAAAAAAAAATATATATATATATATATATCTCATAACCTCTTATAAGATATATATATATATATCTCATAACCTCTTATAAGAAATATATATATATATATATCTCATAACCTCTTATAAGAAATATATATATATATATCTCATAACCTCTTATAAGAAAATATATATATATCTCATAACCTCTTATAAGAAATATATATATATATCATAACCTCTTATAAAAAAAAAAAATATATATATATATATATATATATATCATAACTTCTTATAAAAAATATATATATATATCATAACTTCTTATAAGAAAAAAAATATATATATGTATATATATATTATAACCTCTTATAAGAAAAATGTATATATATATTATAACCTCTTATAAGAAAAATGTATATATATATTATAACCTCTTATAAGAAAAAAATATATATATATATATATATATATATATATTTATATTATAACCTCTTATAAGAAAATATATATTTATATTATAACCTCTTATAAGAAAAATATATATTTATATTATAACCTCTTATAAGAAAAATATATATATATTAATATATTTTTATTATAAGAGGTTATAAAAAAACTTTTTAAATCTCTACACAAAAGCTTTCATGTTTCAATAATATGATTGTACTTCTTTAGGCGATGGTAGGTAACTAGTTATAAAATGATTTCTTAGGGAAATTTAAAAACAAACCGTTACCTCTTTTCCTAAAGTTAAAGTGGTTGGTAATAAGGTCAGAAATTAAAAATAGACTTGTGAGTATGACTGAATTAACCAATTAAATGTCAAATCTATACTAAATAGAAAAATAAGGTCATATATATAAGATTAATACAAATAAAATTTGTCATTTAATTGATTGATGTTATATTCAGCACCTCAACTCATAGACAAACCTTTTTGTAATTGTTCAGTCCACTCATCAGGAGGTTTCAGCAATTGACTGCCACCCAAGGCTATAGAACCCAGTCTATCCTACTATTTACACATATTTGGCGGGAGAAGAGATAGATTCATACCTTTTCCAAAGCTGTTAGCACGTGAGGGAATGTAATGAACTCGACTGGAATTCAAACTCAATCCACGTCATTAACCATTACTCCACTGTGCCTCCTCAAGAATAAATTAAGAACAAAAAATAATAAGTACAACTGCTAGTTTTATGCTTTGTGATCTTAAAGTGTGTCATATACCTCCTGTGGGAGATATACTACACATTGTCAAGCAAACATGAAAAAGTCTATAAAAATTTTATTCAGGGGCTAAGTGGCATAACAAATATTTATTCACTTGCTTACATTTCAAATGTAAATTAAGACTATTGAATAAAGTCTGAATTACTTACTAATGCAAGTACATCCTATACTACCTGTCCACTGTTTAAATATGAACTCTTCCATATTTGTTTGGTTTGGTTTATTTTGTCTTACAGCAACACCTCAATGGGTTATTTAATGTTGCCAAAATTTTTAGGATTGGTTCATATGAATAGAATATGTATTCTTTGTAAGAAAACAATTTTGTTTTTTATTGATGTATTTTTGTAAAGAGGTTTTTTTGTCAAACATGTATTGCTGGTAATTTTATTTTTTTTTTTATGTATTGCTGGTATTTTTACTATAAAAATCTATTTTAATACTTTTATAGTGTTTTGACACCAGTTTG